AGGAGGCTGCAATGCTTGGTAAGAAATGTACGCATTATCCTGCCCATGTAATTGTAACCCCTCTGTACAGTATGTTCACAAATAAAATTAAATTAAATTAAAAAAAACCCACAGAGCAGTTTCACAGAGCCCATCTCTACCCTCTATTCTAAGGCACATTGTAACCAGTGTTCTAATGCCGCCTTTTGTAAGGATGAGTTAAGCAAGAGGTTGGTTGACATATCATTATCACATTTTTGAAGTTAAACAGCCAGGGAATCTATGAACTCTCATCACAGTTAATTATTCCTGAATATCTCTGCTCTGTTGAAACATATTCTATTTATTTAGCAGCCCCTTGGGAACCCTGGGCGCCTTTGTCCCTGAGACACGGCCAGTGGTGTAAAACCTCTGCATCTGTCAGATTTCTCCATGTGGAGCATAATTGCCTGATTTCCATTTGAAAGTACAACCCTGACATTAACGCCACATAAACCCACCAAAGATAACAATGGCTTCCTGACACCTACAAGGGGACAGGAGGGAGGGGGGAGGCATAATGTGGGAATAAACACGTATGCCAAATGAACAGCTTTACTGGGACCAGGTCTGAACTTACAGCTGCAGATGAAGTGCTCCTCAGAAACAAAAAAGAATAAAGAAAAAAGAAAACCATAGATTAGCATCAGTGTGAGTCTGTTGGAGCCAGATGGCAAGAGGAGGAAGGAGAGAGAGAGAGAGAGAGAGAGAGAGAGGGAGAGAGAGAGAGGGAGAGAGAGAGTGTGTGTTCTCTGCTTTCTTCAGGCACCCATCTAGGAGATGGCAATGACAAGAGATAGTAGTGAGCTAACTTCTTAACCAGGCAACGAGTTTACCCTCTTTCTCTCTTTTTTCAGAAAAGAGAAAAATAAAGATGAAAAAGAGAGGTACAGAGGCTGGATGATTGCTCGTAAAGATTGAGCAAGTTGTGACGCAGGGAAGGGCAGGGACTCCAGGCAGCTGCCAGCCTTGGGGAACTGCCGTCAGCTGTCCACAAAGCGTGGTTGTGGAGAGAGAAAAGACAGCAGACAAGGTTTCCAGTGTACTGTTATTTCCTCCATTGATGTCCAAAGTGACCTGGAAGGCTTGAGGTAGAGGAAGTTAGGAGGAGGGACAGACACTGGCAGTAGAAGCTGTGGGTCCAGTTCTGCGGAGGAGGGACAGTGGCTAGTGTCTGCAACTTCTTACTAATAAAAGTGCTGCCATCTCCATGGCCTAATGACCAATGAATCTGCCAATCCATGGCCTGAGGTCCAGCCATTGGTATGAATCTGGACCTGCCATGCCTGGGACAGGTGCCCTAAGGTAAAAGGAGCTGGGGGAGGCTGAAATCAGGCAACGTTCTGGGGTCAAAATGAACATTTCCATCTATAGAGATGGAGGGTTCCTCTTCTCCAACTTTCTGAGACTGAGAAGGCTGGGAGTCACAATGCAAAGCAAAACCTTCACAGCTCATCAGCTAGTCTCTTACCTTCAGTGACAGCCTGACCCCCACTGGTGGGCATCAGATAGACTAGCCAATGCTGGAGTGAAAGCCTAGCATATGCATATGTGCACAGAGGTGCAGGCTTCCTACAAGCCAGGGTGCCTGGGAGTATGTGTTCACACCACCTGACCCAGGGATCACCACCCCGCCAATTATGAATAGAGGAACATGTAGGGTGTTGGGAACCCAGAGGGTACTCCTCCAGTCTGGTTGGCCAGGCCAAGCCCCAGAAGGTTGTCTCCAGCAGTGCTGACTCAAAAGAACACACCAAAGACTCCAAGGTGATGCCCAGTGCTGGGAGAGCTAGTCTTTCATTAACAGCTGGATATGATTATTTGAATCACTTTAAACACGGAGCCAGATCCACTCCATTTTCAGCCAGGATTAGGGCACCTGCTTCCCCAATTCTGGTAGTCTTAGGTATAACTGAATGGCGCATTGGCATATTCTACTTTAGCCAAGAAAGTGAAGCAAGCTGCCAGCTGGGAGCTGAGACCATAGGCTGCAGCTCTTCTTCCAAAACTAAAACTGAAAGGCACCAGCCTACCGAATAACTGCTTTGCTCTCGATCTCCAAGGCAATGCTCTCTAACAGTGCTCTTTATTCTAGTCAGGGTTCTCACCCACAGCTAAGGATTTTAAAGGAAAAGACAAACGTGTAGGGAAGACAAAGGCCTTCTTTTCACCTCACTGAACAGGGAGATCCATTACTTTATAGGAGACAATATATATATACACGATGTGGCCAGCTGCTGAGGGCTCACTCCTATAATTTTAGCTTATTCAGGAAGCTGAGATCTGAGGGTTGCCATTCAAAGCCAGCCTAGGCAGGAAAGCCCATGAGAATCTTATCTTCAATTAAACACCATAAAAGCCAGAAGTGGAGCTAGGACTTAAGTGATAGCATACTAGTCCTGAGCATTAAAGCCCAGGGACAGTGCCCAGATCCCTGAGTTCAAACCCTAGGATCAGCACCAAACAATAACAACAACCAAAAGAAAAGATGTTGGCATTTCAATTACTTTGTCAATTTTTCATGTAACCCTCAGGACAACCCTTGGAGTCAGATCTTCTGATTATACTCAGGTGGATGGCAAGGCACAGAGATGTGCTCATGTCACATAGCTGATAAATGGCCGAGTCAGGATTCAAATGTGGCTCTCGGGTTCCTGGCTCTATCTGGTTCCAGACTGTCCTCCACACCAGCCTCTTGATGCTCAGCCTCTGATCACAAGGTGTTCTGCTCTGTCCTTCCCTAGCAGTGCCATCTCAGGTGACGGAATCTTCCTGCATCCATGAAGGTAGGACCAGACAAAATAAAATGGAGTGGTTGCCAGGAACAGCAGTAACATATAATACCTGGGCAGACCCCTAGCCAGCATCGTTTGGCATGCCAAACCTGCCAACTAAAGAATTAAAAGAAGAGTAGTGAAGTGTACAACAGCAAGTTTATTCAAAGAGGAAGTATACACTCTTCAGACAGGAATGCCAAGGCTGAGAATTAGCTGGGGTCCTTTTGGACCCATATCTCCTCCCCTGAGCTTTGCACTGGTTGCTTGAGGGCTTGTGCATGTGCTGTCTTTTTATTGGTTGAGTGGGACACCAGAGCATTTTGGAAAAACGAAGTTCCATGATGAACCATATGTTGTGCACTAAATGTTTTGTCAGCCATTTTTCTTTATCCTTATCTACCTAACAATTCCCCCCCCTTTTTTTCCCTAGCAGTTGATGCTCCTTAAATGTGACTAGTAATTACTAGTGTGAGTATTGCCATCATCTTTGTGCTCTTCCCACTGAATTCTCATGAAATACCTGTGAGGTAGACCCATTTGACAGCTGGTGAAATTGAAACACAAGACATGAAGAGCAAGAGCTGTGACCAGAGCCCACATCTCTTGACCTTATCTTACCTGGGCTTGCCCTGCCCTGCTGGAGCACACTTCTCTGCTTCTATACTTTTCAACACATGGTTGCTGTCCATGATTAGGCAAGATTACAATTCTTGTCACCTTTCCTTCCTTTCCCTCTGCTAGGACTGACTGGGGACCGAGTCAGGACCCACCCATGCCCTCCTGGGAGGTGCCTCTTGGGACAAGTCAAGACCTAGCAAGAATGGATAACAAGCTTATTGTGCCCTTAGGATTGTCTTTATCATCTGTATCCAAAACTGAGTTTGTTCTCATCATCACTCACTCAGATGTGTGGCCCAATGACAGCTCTGTCCTCCCTCCACACCTCTGACCCCCTCGTTGGAGGAGGTCCTGAGGACATTCGCCATGCTTTTCTTTGCAGGAGGAAGCTCTCTATCCACAGCTAGAAGCTGAAGGGGAGCTGCTGCCCAAAGGACCTGGGTGTCTGGCCTTGTTCCACTGCTTTCCTAACTCTACCCTTCCGGTGATTTTCACAGTTTCCTCCCATTTTACTTTCAGAGAATCTCTGGGGAAGGCAGCTTTTGTTCTGTTGTTTCACATAATTCCCAGAGCTAAGAGAGGAAAATGATTTCCTTTCACGGACCTCTGGCTGAGTGTCTTTCACATCTCCGCTGTGTTAGGGAATGATTTATAAACTGCAGAGTCTGGATCTCTTTCCTTCAACTTCTGCTCCTCTTTCCCCTTCCTCCACCCAACACTTAAAGCAATCTTGAGCCCCAAGGTCAGAGTGTCCTGTGTGAAGTCGGCCCCCAGGGGAACTTTTTAGAGGCTGAGGTCAATAATGAGAGCACGAAGCCATCCATTCCTGTCTGAAGCAAACAGAAACTGGCACACTCACCATCTCTAAGAACAAACATGGTCTAGTCCTCAAGGTTGAGGGCTGGATTTGAACCATGAATGTCAAAGCATATTTTCCAAACTTGTCAGGCCTGGGTTTTATTTCTAGACTTTTATTCTCAAAGGGGTGATATGGAAGAGACGAGAAAAGAAGTTTTGAGCTGGGAAATGAAGTTTCCCTTCTCCACTGCCATGGAACTTAATAGAGGGAAATGAATGCCAGGCACTGGTTTTCTCTCTGCTACAACAAAATGCAGAAAGCAGATAGCCTGGGGTCATTAGGAAAAGGACTTATCTTGATCTGATCTGTGGATGGTTGGTGATCAGCTGATTCCATGGAGTCCCCTCCTGCATTTGGGTTCCTGGAGAGTGGAGCTTCATCAGAAGCTAGAAAAAGACAAACATAAATGAACCAAACCTGACCAGCATTCATACTGGGGAATGCTGAGTCAGGCCCTTGAGAACATACTATGGATACTGGAGTGCTGTCTTTCTTTCCTAACATGATCCTTGGCGGGAAAATGTCCTCCTGGCCACGGAGACCCATACACACCACCACTTTTGGCTCTATCATTCTTTTCATGCCACCATGGGCCATCTTGTTGTTAAAACCCCTCTAATAGTACCTTCTGTGTAACTCACATAATAGGATGAGTCGCCATGCTATCCGACTTCTGAGCTGCAATGTCAAAGGGGCTGAGATAGCTTGGCACCATGAGTGCTAGTGACAAGCTACTGCTGGCTTTGGGCCAGCTACTTAACCTCTCTGGGCCTCATCTTTCCTGATCTGTAAAATGGGGAAGTGGTTATTACATTGGCGGATTTATATCGAGTGATTCACACAATGTCTCCTCTCCACCACCACCACCACCACCACCCAGAATACAAGCTCCATGATGCCAGTTAGTCATTCTAATTATGAGAGGGAGCCTTGGTAAAGAGTGATATGAACCAAGGCAGGAGGGAGTGAATAGGAGAAGGCTGGAGAAGGTAGGAGACAAGCAACTGGCTGCAAGATGCTGTCTCTATCTCCTCTGCTCTCCATGTGGTTTCATTTGGAAAGCTCAGAGTCTGAGATTTTTTAAGCCATTTATCATCTCCATTTCCTCCTTTACACTAAGCATTGTTCCAGAGACACTCAAGTTCAGAGGTGCCTGTGTTAAATGAGAGCTCATGTACATAGGGTGTTCCAGAAAGCAAGCAATTAAGAGGGACTTCCATCACCATGCGAAGCTGTTGGCACCACAGTTTCTTCCTGACTTGGATCAATGATCACTTTTGCTTTAAGATCCTAAGAGCAATAGGCAGATTTCAGCTCAATTAGATGGAGACAAGCTCCATATGCTAATGCTCTGGTCCCTAATGAATGTAAGTGATGACATACACATAGAACATTTGGAGCTACTAGACCCATCACCAGACACAACTCAGTCTCAGGCTCCAAAGAGGTGAAAACTGAGAAGAGATCTTTAGAGCCCAGAAGAAGAAAGGGGAAGACCTGGGTCAAGTAGAGCCATGTCCCTGGGGCAACTCTGGCAGATGAGGGATCTGGAGAGTTCAGCTCATGCATGCATTGGCACTGAACTATAAGAACCAGCACTCATTAATCTCTCCATTGTAGCTTTTATATAGCTATTACCAAAGTGGAGTTGGCTTAGTGTAGTTACCATATAAGTTCATTTGATGGCTGTAGCATATTCTCTCTTTTGTGTCTCTTTGTCTCCATCTCTATGTCTCTCTGTTTCTGTCTGTCTGTCTGTCTGTCTGTCTGTCTCTCTATCTCTCTGAAACTGAATCATATTCAGCACTATTTTATGCTCTTAGGAAACTGTTAGGAAGTTTCCCAGTTTTGCTTTTTTATGCTAATTCCCTACCAATTTTATTATTATTCTTAATGTTTTTTATTCCTTTTCTTTCCAACTAAAGAATTTATTGCAGTGTTACTTTTCTTTGACATATTTGGTAAGTGTGAAGATACAAGATCATTGAAATTTCCATTTGATAGCATTTTATTATTTTTAAAGGCATTATATATTTTGAAAATGAAAATATGCAGACTAAACAAAAGGCTTGAGTTCCATTTTGTTTTGGTATCATAGGAAATACAAGACATAGACTTGATTCTAGACAGAAGTGTGATTTATTTTTCCCATGGAAAACAAGTGGCTATCTCTTTCCCAATCCATCACCACCTATCAGACCAACTGAACTCTCCCAACCCAACATTCCTCTATGCCTCAATTTCTCTAGATATAAAAGGATACTCAATAGTACTGTCTTCCATTCATAGGCAGATTGTAAAAACCTGTGACAGAAGAATCTTCACAGAACAGAACTGTCATTGCAGAATTTGTTTGGTGCCTTTGTGACAGTTCTAAAAGTGAGGATTACCCCAAAAAAAGGAAAGTGGAACCAGGAAGGATTTTGACTTGCTAAAATGAAAGGGAATTAAGCAAAGGAAGCTATTCCTTTCATTAATGCAGTCAGGCTCCATTTGAGATGTTCCTTGCTTCCAGAGAACACATGAGTTCTTTGTAACTGAATCATCAGTTTTCTGGCTTTACCTCTCAAAAAGGATATTAGAAGTACATTCAGTCTAGGAAACAACATTTCATAGAAGATCTCTCTCTCTCTCTTTTTCTCTCTCTCTCAGTGCCTGTCTTGGGGCTTGAATTTTGAGCCTGAGCCCTATCCCTGATATTCTTTTTCTCAAGGCTAACACTGTACCACTTGAGCCACAGCACCACTTTCAGCTACTTTCGAGTAATTTATTGGAGATAAGAGTCTCATGGACCTTCCTGCCTGGATGGCTTTGAACTGCAATCCTCAGAACTCAGCCTCCTGAGTAGCTAGGATTATAGGTGTGAGACACCAGCACCTGGCTGAGTCTTCCTTTTATTCAACACCTTTTTGTGGATTTTTTTCTTTCTGATTTCTCTTCATCCTTCCTTCCTCTGCCTCTCATCTCTTCTGTCTTCTAACCTGTCAATTTCCATTTTCTTTGTACCTTCACTGTGGTGTTTGACATCTATTCCTATCCCCCTTTCTCTTTACTTTCCTCTTTCTCACTTTTGTCCCTGAAAAAAATTCCTGATCAGCATTGTCCTATCTATGCCTATTTATGCCATCACTCAATGACCTCTAAGAGCTTTTCTAATTCCTTAGTATATACCAAGAATCCCTCATGCTCACTGTCAGTATCGGATGCCTTAAGACAAACTGAGATCCTAAGGCTCAGGTGGTAAAGCACCTGCCTAGCAAGCTCAAAGCCTTGAGTTCAAACTTTAGTACTTCCAAAATAAAATAAAATAAAATAAAAGTGAAGTGTAAGCTGATGTCAACTAGTGGAACTTTCTGAGCTCTTTATCCAAAGCTTCATGCATACAGCAGGCTCTTTAAGTCTCTGTAAGACCAGGTTGAACAAACCTTTAGTTGGAAAAACCACACAGTTTTGTGCTAAGGCCATGTATTTATGACTTTTTCCTTTCTTTTCCTTCTTATTTTTTCTGTCTTTCTCTTTCCTTCCTTCTTTCTTTCTTTCTGTACTGGAGTTGGAACTCAGGGTCTAATACTTACTAGGCCAACGTAGCTGGGACCACAGGCACATGGCACTGCATCCAGCTTACCTGCATGGAGATAGTCTCATGAACTTTTCTCATGGCCTGGCACCTCATCAGATGATACCATATGCACTGAGCTATCAGCTGAGAAGGGTCTCACAAACTTTTTTTTTGCCCCAGCTGGCCTTTAACCATGTTCTACTTGTTCTCAGACTGCCCCCCCCCCCAGCCCAAATAGTTTTGATCACTGGTACCTGGCTATTTCAGAATGAACTCCTAGCAATAGGGTCCTAAGTGACTACGTAGTTACCATGTCTGATTGCCTTCTGCACTTTGTGATTTAAAGAAATACCTTCTACCTCATCTGTTCCTTGGAGCAACACTGTGAAGCAATCCTCCTTTCATGCTTTCCTCTGGGGCAATAAAAATGAACTAGGACTTGCTCTTCTTGGACTCAGCCCTAGATTACTAATTTCAGATTCAAGTTCTTTCTGTCATGATGGTGGTTTCCAAGCCTAGAAGCTCATCAAAATCACCTGTAAAGAGCTTAACAAACAAGAGTCATAGCCCCACTATGGACCTTCTATGTCATCCTCAGGTGAGACTTGCCATATGTCGTCCCACAGATGTATGTGGCCCCCACACCCACTGCCTTCCATCCCACCAGCTCTGATGGCCATTCTAGTCTATGTCACCCAGAAGGACAACTGTGATTTTAGAGGCCAGCTGTACCCTTGAAAACCGATTTGCTTACCCTGGTTACTCCCTTGATTGGGAAAAGTCCACTTATACATTTCAAGCTCTTCCTTCTCTAGAACCTACCTGGATTAAAAGCCTAACTTCTATAAAAACCAAAGTTAAAATTACTGCTATACCCAGGCGCTGGAGTCTCACACCTGTTATCCTAGCTACTTAGGAGGCTGAGGATTGTGGTTTGAAGCCAGCCCAAGCAGAAAAGTCCATGAAGCTCTTATCTCCAATTAAGCGCATGCGCGCGCGCACACACACACACACACACACACACACACATCAGAAGTGGAGCTGTGGCTCAAGTGGTAGAGTGCTAGCCTTGAGCACAAAAACTCAAGGACAGCTCCTAGGCATTGAGATCAAGCCCAGGACTGGAAAAAGAAAAGAAAGGAAAAGCCGGGCACTGGTAGCTCACGCCTTTAATCCTAGCTACTCAGGAAGCTGAGATCTGAGGATCGCGGTTCAAAGCCAGCCCGGGCAGGAGACTGAGAGACTCCTATCTCCAATAAACCACCAGAAAACCGGAAGTGGCGCTGTAGCTCAAGTGGTAGAGTGCTCGCCTTGAGCTGAAGAGCTGAGGGACAGCACCCAGGTCCAGAAGTTCAAGCCCCATGACTGACAAAAAAAAAAAAAAGAAAAAAAAGAAAAGAAAGGAAAAGGAAAGAGAAGAAAAATTATGGCTATAGCTTTCACGAACCTCAGGTAGAAAAGATCAGGAAGTGTGATGGCCATACTTGGGAAGGCCTCAGAAAGGCTATTGAGAGGCTTCTGAACTGAGAATAGGGATCTTCTTGAGCAGCTGCCTCCAAACAACTGGACCCAAGCTAGTTGGACATGTCTGGAAGGATGCTTGTATTGGTGGGACTTTGTAAAGATAGAGGCAAGGACACTGGCAATTAAGTGACTATAAACCCATCCAATGATCATTGCATTGGTTTTGTAGAAAGAGAATTGTAACTGGTAGGAAAGCTCTTTTTGTCTGAAAAAGTCCAGTTTGGACACTCACAGAAACTTCTGTCAGGCAAACCACTGAACCCTAAATTAGGTCAGGAGAGTCCTTTACCGCTGAGGTTCTCTGGAGGAACAATTAGGAGTTGGTATAAGAAGTCTCCCAAAATGGCTTAACCTGCCACAAACCCAGCAAGTGGACACCTCTGAATGGATCGCCTCCCAAGAGGGGTGTAGGGGCACAGGGGAGTAGGCTACTAGCCTAAGCTCTGAGTGTAGGTCAGTCTGGTAAACAATTATAATGGTCTGGAGAGCTGGTTAAATAGCTGAAGCAAGTTGAAATTTGCAAAACACATTATTAACAAGGGCCTGATGAAGTGCCAGAAGAGCCTGCCAACAGGGACAGCTGGAAGGCCAATTTTTTAGTCAATACTGAAAGGTACCCACTTAAGTATCTGAGTCCACACACCCACTGATTCTCCCTCCCCCTCCTCACCCCGCCTCAACTCCCCTGGCTCAATACTCCTGTTTAATCAATTAATTGCATGGAGGAGTCTCTCTGCTGACATATCTTACACTCAAATCTATACTGGAGTGAAAGAGAAGTGCTTTACTGCAGTGCAAATGGGGTTCTGGGTGCAGCTTATGGGCTTGGGTCTTGCCCAGTACTTCCTGCTGCTATGGCAGTAGGTGGCTGGACCTTGCAGAAATTCAATGAAGATCCTTTAAAGAGCACCAGGTCTCATCTGGTCCCCAAAGAGATATCTGCATGGTGAACCAGATGCTGCCAAGCCTCTGAGCATTGGTTTCCAGAGGGACTGGGAGGGGCAGGGGATTGCCTGGGTCCTACACCTAGGAGCCAAGTCAGATAGATAGGTATGCCACCATGTGGGGGTGGCAGATGTGATGAATGAGGTAAGCAGTGAAGTTCTGAAGAAGAGTGCATGGAAGAAGATGCTGAGGCTGAACCCAGCAGCCAGGCTCAAGGAATAGCACACTCCCCAGCACACAAGAGAAAAGCATTCAGAATAAGATCAGCAATCAGCAAACATCCTCTGGAGCTTGTGCCACCTGGAAGGTAGCAACATGGTGATGGGCATGATGCAACCTAAGTCAAACTTGCAAACCAAAACACCAGCTGGACACATGTGAAGTGATTCATGGGGAAACAGTCCGTGTTAATGAGGAGTCTTCTTCTTCTCTGCTTACCTTTGTCATCAAGTGGAGTTTTGTGCCTTCCCATAATCTCATCCTCTGTAGCATTCAAGTTCTGAATCAGAAAGTATGTGGTCATTTTCCCTTTTCCTTTCACCTCAATTTCACCCCTCTCCGTGATTTCAAATCCTTGATTTTCCAAGGCTCTGCACAGAGAAAAAAAATATACCAGATACAAAAGATCACAGAGAGGGTGATACAAGAAGCCCAGAAGAGGAGGGAGGACCCAAGACATCAGCCAGAGCCCACAGGGATGACAGGGAAAGCAGTGGAGAAAGGAGAGAGATCAGAGGGTCAGATATTCTGAGCAGGGGGCCAAAGATCTGAGCAGAGGGGACCCACCCAATCCCTGTTGCATTTACCACAATGCTCCTCCCTCTAATCTATTCCTCACACATGCAGCCTCCTTATTTCCCCTCTACTGCTTGTTTGTTGTTGTTGTTTTTTACTCCACCCCACCCCCAGTGCTCCAGTTTTGTCTAAATTCTTCTTTGAAACTCCTTACTCAATATTAAGCTCAGGAATCTCCACAAATCCTTCCTTTCCAGGGTCAGACCCCTGGCCCCACATTCCATGCCATGCTCTAATTTCTTCAGGCAATGAAGTAGAATAGTTGGAGAGAGTCTGATGCTCAGCTTTCATCTATGTTCTTTTTCCTGGCCTACTTTGACAAAAGGCAAGTTATTAATCTTTTCACCTTATTTTTTTCACATATATAAGTTAGAATAATAGTAATAGCTCTTTGTGAAGTTATTCACCCGCAAATGAATTAACATGAGGGCAAAAATTTTATAGAATTAAATATAGCCTACTGCAAGTGCTTAAGAAACTGTAAGCTTGCTTCATATATATAATTGTATTTAGCTCACTTCAAAAATAATTTGCTGGGAGAGTAGGCACAGTGGTTCACACTTGTAATTTCAGCCACTTGGGGAATAAATAGGTGTTTGAAGCCAGCCAGGGCCGAAAGTTGGTAAGAGTGTTTCAAAGAATAAGGAAGGCATGGTAGCGCGTATGTGTAATGCCAACTACATATGAGTCAGAGGTAGGAGGATCACTGTAAAAGGCCAGGCTGAAAAATATCACAAGACCCTATCTGAAAAATAAACTAAAGCAAGAAGAGCATGGCTCAAGTGGTAGAGTGGCAGGTATAAACCCTGAGTTCAAAACCCCAGCACTGCAGGAAAAAAAAATTACTAGTTTTCTTTCTTACTCCTCTAAAGTAAGAGTAAGCAAACCTTTTCAGTAAAAGCCAAGATAGTATATATTTCAGGCCTTGTAGGCCATATAATCTGTCACAACTACTCAACTCTGCTATAGTATCAAGTCACAAGCTATAGAAAATACATGAAGAGCATGATTATGTACCAATAAAAACAAGCATCCAATTGTATATAGCCCGTGAGTTATAACTTGTTATTTCACTAAACTATATGTTTCTTGAGAGTGAAAATTACGTTATGGTAGAAGTGGAACCCTATTTATTATCTGGCACAATGCATCTAAGTGACGTACAGGAAATAAAGCATGCATTCCCTCCACTATTCCCCCTTCCATGAATGCTAGGCATTTGGTAAATTCTGGAAGAAGAAAGGGTCAAAGGAAGGCCTGAGTCCATGCCTTGGATACCTGTAGGCTGTAGGGCTGAGGTGCACTTTGTTGGGAAGCCCATGACTTTCCATCCTAGAGGCTGTGTTCACAGTGTCACCAAACAAGCAGTACCGTGGCATCTTGTCTCCCACAACACCTGCTAAGACTGGTCCAGTGTGGATCCCCACTCTGATCTGTACAGAGAAAACTGCACTGAAAAGAACCCATCCTTTTGCTTTTATGGCATCATTTACAAAACACGAAACCCACAGATATTAAAGTGTTTAGCTCCCTGAACACAGAAAAATAGATACATCACTGTAATCACCATCACCCTAACAGAAAGAACCAATTTCTTATTTCTTTTACCAAAGATTAATTTGCATGTTCCAGAACACCCCATAAATGAAATCATAGTGTTTCCTAGCTGGCTTCATTGACTTAACATAGTGTTTTTGAGATTCAATCCTATTGTTGTGTGTATCAACAGTTCATTATTTTTATTGGTGAATAGCAAAGTTCCACTGTGATTCATTTATCCATTTTCTTCTTCATGAGCATTTATTTGGAATGTTATATCATTAAAGGCTGCTATAAACATTTCTGAACTGGGAGAAAATGAGGGAAGAGGTGGCCCTGTTCAAAAAGAAATTCGCTGAATACCTGACATATAAAATGGCAACTCCTCTGTATTTTGCCTTTACAATAAAAATTAAAATAAAAACATTTCTGTACAAACATTTTAGTGGACATACACTTTCACTCTTATGTAGCTACCTACAAGTGGAAGTTCCACTTCTCGGTCACAAGTACATATATATTTAACTTTCCCATCGAAACAAAACTCTTGAACAATTCTCCAGAGTTTATTCTCAATTCTCCATTGTCTACTGCCACCAGGAAGAAGGCCCTTCCAGATGTCCAAATGTTTCCACCATTTTGTCCTTCCAGTGCATAGGAAATTATATTTCATTGTGATTTTAATTTACACGTTCCTGGTAGCTAATGATGCATATTTTAAACACACATATTGTCTATTGCTATATATCTCTTTTTGTGAAAATTTGGCCAGGTTTTTTTCCTCAGTTAAGAAATTGGACTGTACATTGTTTATTTTTAATGAATATGCACTGTATATCTATTTGGACATGTGAAATGTGTAAGTAAACATAGTATTTTCCTTAGTCTGTATATTCACTTTCTTTAATAATAAGAAATTTTGAATATTGTTAAATACACTTATTTGCTTAGACATTCATACAAAATCGCAGAGTGGGCAGTTTGAACAATAGCCCTCTATTTTCTCATGTTTCTAGAAGCTAGAATACTGAATCCAAGTGTGGGCAGATTTAGTTTCTCCTGAGGCTCTTCTCCATGACTGTCACCATGTCCTCACATGGCCTTTCCCCTGTGTAGGGGGCCACCCTAACATCTCTGTCCTATTTCCTCTTCTTATAAGGACATCAGTCAAGGTGAAGTGGCCTCTCCCTCAAGCTCTCATTTTACCTTACTTACCTGGATTGAGTCTCTGTCTCCAAATGCAATCACAGGTCCTGAAGTCTTCAACATATAAATTTTGAGGGATGCAAGTTTTCCTATCACACTAGATATATTTTCTTTTCTGTTTACTGCCTTTTAAACTCTTCATTGCCTTTTTGCACTGAGAAAGTATTGTTTATACCAGAGTCAGGAACCTCTTTCCTGTGGACTTCCATCAAGAATTCTAGCTTTTATGGTTAGAATGCTTCTTGCCCCATACTTTGGAGGACTGTCATATGTGGCAAAAACTAAGGGTACCTGACAGGAGTTTTTCTTAGTTCTCTAAGTGGGCCACTGCCTTGCATTTGAGGGGAATTCTACACATCTCAAGGAGTTCTCAACTGTCCTCCCCTGGCCCTCGCCTTTGGCTAAAAGAATCTCATGTGTTTGGTGAAGGCCTGCGGGAAAGAACTGGTAGATAGATGCCAACTATGTGGCTGGGCTTTGGGGGATTCTAACTTCAAGAACTAAGATAAGGGGACACCAAGTTATGATTTTAGCCTCCTATGATCATGAAAAGCTCACTAAACTTTAGCTTGCTCTCTTCTTTTTCTAAATTTAATTTCATTGTTAAGGTGATGCACAGAGGGGTTACAGTTCCGCAGTTCCATCCGTGAGGTAGTGCGTACATTTCGTGTTGAGTGTTGTTACCCTTCCCTCATTTTTCTCCTACTTCCCCTCTTCTAAAGTTCACCTCTGCAGTCATACTTTTCCTGCTGCTCTATCTTGGATGAGTACAATCCTGTTATCTCCTCCTTGAAAATAAGAGTCATTTTCTGTAATTTATTCCAGTTTGGGGTTTTTGCTCACTGTTGGGACTGAAAAATCTGCTAGGATAGGAACTTTTTGTTCTTTTTTTACATTCGAACTAGACCTTTTTGTCTTTTTGTATTAGATTTCCTTCTCCTTGAAATAAGATTGTAAATTCTAGGAAAAGGGCCTGTTAATATATCTCTGAATCCTTTAAAGCAACTCATAATACTACTTCTCTCATGCATGCTATGCCTGCCTCAAATGTATATTAAAGAATGCAGGAACAAAAGAAGAAAACGTCTCAATACATGCTAGTCGAGAAATGGTGGCACAATTTTCAAAAGAGGTAAGGTGCCTTCTCCCTTCCCCCTACATCCTTGAATAAATCACACAATATATTGTTCCTGATGGCTGGATAATGATGTGCCTATATCTCTAGTCTTAGAACAGAATTGCTAACATCGTTTCCTGGTTGTTTGTTTGGGGTTTTGTTTTTAATACATCCCGAAATTCAGTTTGAATTTCATTCTTCTTGGTACAGCATTATTTTCATCTAATACTCGCTTCAATTCCTCTTTCTATTGACAGCATATAATTCAATTATTTTTTCTTCAGTGGCTTACATTACAGGCTTGTCTTTTATCTGATCATCTTATCCCTACTTCCTCATCACCTTCCCATTCTGATTTTTACTTATTATGTGAAAGGTTTTATTCAACAGATGTGCACTATGAGTTTCCAGTAAGTCAAGGGACTGTGGTTGTTTTGTTCTTGTGATGGCCTAAAGCCAGTTTTACTTAGAAGACTACAGTGGACATTCTAGCCAGGACCCACACTATTCTCAGCCTCCAAATATCTTTCAGAATCTCCTGTAAAAGGTTATAACTTGGAGAAATCATTTTCCACCTTAAAGATGATTTTTATTTTCAGTTGGCTATTAAGTTTAGTTTGAGCTCTGGCATGGGCAGGGCAGGGTTGTAGATGAAAAAGGCAGAGAGAACAGGCTCTGAGCCATCTCATGGGGGATCAGGATCTGCTGTTGGTTAAAGATAATTTCTAATTCTCATCTCGCAGACTGTCCAGCTTCTATCATGTGCATAAATGTCCATGCATGGAAGAGTGGCTTCCTGAGAGAAAACCGAGCAGATGTCGTGCTAACAGTATGTGGTGGAAGGAAAGCCATCCTGAATATCTTAGGGTATTGCCAGGCCTGGGTTGTAGATGGAAGACAGCTTCACACCTCTGCCTGAGCTCTAAACTGTCAGATGACATGTTGGATATGCAATTTTCCCAAGCAGGGGGTTGAGTTGGCTGTGCTATAAACCTGAGCCACCTGTTGAAATGCTTGAACAAAAAAGCAGCAATAGTAAATAAGCTGACTTTCAAAATAAATGGAGCCCTACAAGGTAAATAGAGAGATGTTCCTACCATCCTGAATTATAAACAAAGGAGGGCTACAGTGAATCACAGGAAAATCCACAGCCTTTTCTGAAATTTGAGAGAAGTTGAGACCTTAGTACCAATAGATAGATAGATAGATAGATAGATAGATAGATAGATAGATAGATAGATAGATAGATAGATAGATAGATAGATATCTTTTTCTTAGACACATGTGCAAGGGAAGAAAAGGCTTTGGAGAAATTCTCCATCTTAAATACTGTAATACATCCCATTATCACCTGAGAAGAGGAGAATTCCACTTTTGTGTGAGACATGTTTGTATTAAGCAAGACGTTGGTTTGCCCTCTACCTGGATGGGTTCTCCAGTAACAGGATTCATCACTTCCTTTGCAGAAATTCTCATCCCCAAGGCAAAATTCGCCACCCTTTGAGCATGGCTTCCAATAGGAACTGGCACACCTCCAACTACCATATAAGCATCACCTATTGTTTCCACCTGCCAGGGGAAAAAAAGTACTCAGAGTGGTTCTTTCACATCCTAAATATGTCACTAAATATGCGTTTAATTCCTCATATATTGAGACAAGAACAATGTTAGAGTTCTGACTCTCTGCTAAGGGTTTGAGGAACATGAAGAAGGTGGGGAGAAGGAATATGACTCTAAAAACCATGGAAGAGCCAACGACGACCTGCTTTTTTTTTTTTTTAATAGTACTGAGGCTTGAACTCAGGCCCTCATACTTGCTAGGCATGTACTCTACCACTAAGCCATACATCCAGCCCAGTCTTTCACTTGTTAGTTTTTAGGATAGGTCTTGCGTCCTTCCTGGGTATAAGCCTGAGACATGATCCTCCTACTGTGGACTTCCCATAGTAGCTGGAATCACAGACATATGACACTTTATACAGTTTTCCTTCTGTGAAAACGGATTTCATAGATTTTTCTCCGATGTAGCTTCAAATGACAGACATACACTACTGAGCTCAGCTATGAGTTAGGAAGGGTTCTCAAGAAGTTTTCTGCCTAGGCTGTCCCCTATACCATACCACATTCCTCCTATTTTCAGCCTCCCAAGTAGCTAAGATTAAAGATACCTTGCTCCTTTTTCTTTCTTTTCTTCTGAAGATAGAACTGGCATCTCATGAATGCCAGGCAAGTGCCTATCCCTAAGCTATATCCCATCTCCATGTCTACTTTTAGTGGAAACATATCCCAGAGAAGATGAACCTTCTGGGGTAGTAGTGTGATTCTGTTAGATAATACTTATCTGAATGAGAGTTTTTGTTGAATACAGGAGCAGAAAAGTTCTCAAGGGTACTAAAGTATCATCTTAACGCCAGATATTATGAAAAGGTTCCTAAAAAACAAGTTCATTGTCTGGAAATAAATGGTATAAGTGGTAGAGTGCTTCCTAGCATATAAAGAAAACTAAAATTCCTAAAATTCTTTCAATAATTTCAATCTACTCTTCTCTTTACCTTACTCACATGCACACCAAGACTAGTGCAGATAAAGATGAAGAAAGACTTAGAATCAAGTGTCTGCCCAGCCATATTACCTACTCCCAGCTCCTTCCCACACTCACTTTGTAGACTTCATGGACACTGGTTAGTCTGTCAAACTTGGAGTACATTGAATTCAGCATGTTCACTATCTGGATAGGTTCACAGGCAGCACAGATGTTAGTAAATGTTACCACATCACTGAAAAGGATTGTGCAGGTTTCAAATTCTCCTGCAACAGAAACTGTTGTCAATGATAGCCAAGGATATAGAATAAAAATAATCTGTGGATTTTGGATGCAAATATTCTTCTCACCCTCTTGCCCTTGTTTTATATCCTTCACTGGCTTCTCATCCTCCTTCAATAATCCTGACTTTCATCTCATCTCACATTTTTCAGATGTTTATAACAATCGTTCATATGATCTATGATTATCCATCACCCACAGAGCAGAAACTCCTCTATCCTATACCTCCACGCTAGAATTTTTCTCTCGAGCTCTTCCACATCTCCTTCACTACATGGAGAATATCACAGACATCTCAAAATCAACATTCTTCTCTGACCTGATTTCCTCATCAGGACTCTACTTCTTTCTGTTTCATCTTAGGACAAAGCATTATATGTTTTTCTGTTGGCAATCTCAGACTCCTCACTGAGTCCCATTTCTGACATTCCCCACATATCAGGCTGCGACTCTGCTGTCTCTCCCTGAACTACCTTAGCATTGGCCTTGACCTTCTCTCAACCTACCTTGCTCTACCAAACAGCCCAAACGACACTTAACAAAACTAGGTACTTCCGTCATAAGAGAAACAAACTTCAGTAGATCAACATTGCTTACAAAATAAAAGCCAGTTTCATTTACGTCATCCAGATCTATCACTGTATCTCTTGAACCACATCCTTCCCCTTCTAATCCTTAAATACCACCTGTGAACATACCCACATTCTAGGAACAAGGACTGCCACTGCCTGAAAATTTATTTTCAAATTGTTTTATCTTTGCTCTTGCTAAGCCATCCTTCCAATGCTCTTCCTTTCTTTGCCTGCTGGAGTTCACACTCAAAGCCTACCTCAATTGCCACACACTTTCACAAAGTGTGTTCACAGCCTTCTTCTACCCCATCTCCTCTCATTATTAATCTCTCTGTGATCTGTGATTCCACATTTCTTGGAAAGAGTATGGGGGGGGAGATAGCATGAATTGGGGAGTTAGAGGACTTAGCATGATTTGTTTCTACCTCACAAGTGGGAACAAATGTCAATATGAATGTATAGAATGGGAAGCATCCTCTTATAGAAAAGTTAAAAAAATAAGTAAAACAGAATATGAAAACTATATAATGCAGTTCCTAGCATACTATTTGCTCTTTAATGCATATTAGTCTCCTTCCTTTGGTCAGTCCCATTGCTACGATTCTCTCTCTGCCAAAACCAAAAAGCTGTGAGTTCCTTTGCGTCCCTTAGATTTGATATAGCTTCTGACACTATTCATAGGGCATGTCTATGGATGAATGCATCTGAAGTAATTAGGAAGTGAGCTCAGCATAAACACAACATCCCTCCCTTCAGAAATAGCATTTCCAGAATGTTCCTCAAAGGCTCCTCATGATTTAGTTAAGATGTATATTAATTCCAATGATAAAGACCCGGCTCTTAGTCACTGAATCATAATGCCAGTCCTAGAACATAGCCCATATTCTTAGAGAATCTAATATATTCATGTGTCATCGATAAGCATTTTAATCTAATGTACATTTCACTCCTATATTGTTATGCTTCATGTAAAGAAGAGGAGCTATGGAGATGCAGGTTTGGCAATTAGCCCGAGATGGTACCACTTACAAGTGATGGAGTCAAAATTCAACTTCAGATCTTCCTGGTTCAAAGTTCATTTCCCTACCCATGAGGATACAGTGCCCCTTACTCAGAAGTCCCCCCAAAGAGAAGGGACATCTCACCTGCGGCGACCTTTTTGCCCTCCTTTAGCTGATTGGCTACATGTTCCGGCAGCATAGCGTACAGCAAGGTCTCTGTCTTCTTCTTTTCGATGGCCAGGTGCTTGGAGAGGATGCGCAGCTCTTCCTTTTTCATCTCCAACTGGTTGGACAGCTCCATCTCTGCCAGACGCTGCTGGTTGAGGAGGATGAGGTCCCTGGTGGTGTCGTGGGGGGCAATATCTGAGAGGTGCATCTTATGCTCCTCCAGCTCTTGCAGGCTGCGGAGCTTTGGTGAGCACATGAATATCATGCATCGCAGTGACTCCATCCAGATCATCTGGCCTTCACATCACCAAGAGAAATGCAAAAGAGAGTCTGTCATTAAGATGGGAGCTCATGAGCCCACCACAGAGTCAGGCGTCCTCTGTTGTGTGTGTGTGTGTTCTAGTCACTGCATAGTCTGCTCTCCCCTTTCGGTCAAGCGTCTTGTGAATTACCTATGCTTTCTATCTCTCCCTGTTGCCCCTCCCTCATAGATGTCCTCCTGGCTGCTATTCTCACTTTAAGGTGGCTCCCACATGTGTCCAGACTGTCAACCCCAACACTGGTTTCTCAGTTTTATCTTTTGTTGTTGGTAGTGGTGGTCATGGGGCTTGAACTCAAGGCTGGGGCACTGTCCCTGAGCTTTTGTGCTCAAGGCTAATGCTCTACTACTTTGACCCATGACTCTACTTCTGGGTTTTTTTTTTTTTTGCCGGGAGGGTGGGGTAATTAACTGGGGATAAGAGTCTCATAGACTTTTCTGCCCAGGCTGGCTTTGAATTGCCATCCTTAGATCTCAGCCTCCTGAGTAGCTAGGATTACAGGTATGAGCTACCAGTGCCCCACTTAAGTTTTATCTTTATTTCGCCTTTCTGCTTTTGATAATATTAACCCAAACATCCTTCCTGAATACTCACTCCCTGGGGCTTTCTCTCTGAAAAAAATACACATACCTACACACACACACACACACACACACACACACACACACACACACATTGGGGAGTAGTTAATCCTAGCTACTCAGGAGTCTGAGATCTGAGGATTATAGTTCAAAACCAGCCCAGGCAGAAAACTTTACAAGACTCTTATCTACAATAACCACCAAAAAGCCAGATATAGGGACATGGCTCAAGTGGTAAAGGGGTAGCCTTGAGCAAAAAAGCTCAGGGGCAGTGCCTGGGCCCTGAGTTCAAGCCCCAGTACCAACACATGCGCACGAGCGTGCACGTACACACACACACACACACACACACACACACACACACACATCATTCTTTAAATTTTTGCATTTCACTTAGCATCATCTTATATGGTCATATGTACATAGCTTTAATAGGGACACCGAGGGTTTATCTTTGTCACTGTTGTTTTTAAGGTACTATGTGATGTTTTTGTTTCTTTTGTACGTTCTTCCCCTCATGGTATAACCCCTGTTTTAACTGTATTTGATTCCGGTGCCCTGCATCTTGTATATACATTTTTCTAATTTGGGGAAGGGAAGGGAAATAACAAAATTCTGAAATAAGGATACAGGTTGACCCATTGTAACAATGAGATGTACAAGACACTGTGTTGAAAATGAACTTTACAAATTCAGGGGGAGGGGAGAGAAGTTGGGGAGGTGGGGAGGGAAGAGATGGTAAGGAAAAATCAAAGGAGGGGTAACAATGCTCTAAAGGAAATGTTCTCATTACCTTCCTCGTGTAACTGTAACCCCTATGTACAGTATCTTTACAGTAAAAAATATATATTAAAAAAATTGTGCCGGGTGCTGGAGGCTCATGCCTGTAATCCTAGCTACTCAGGAGGCTGAGATCTGAGGATCACTGTTCAAAGCCAGTCCAGGCAGGAAACTCCATGAGACTCTTATCTCCAATAAACCACTAGAAAACTGGAAATGATGCTGTGGCTCAAGCAGTAGAGCGCTCGACTTAAGCTGAAGAGTGCAGGGAGAGCACCCAAGTCCAGAATTCAAGCCCCATCACTGACAAAAAAATTACAAAAAAATTACATTTGCTCCAAATTTGTCTTGATTGTTCTATTTTAATATTACAAGATTACTATCTGACAGTGTGCTAACAGTGAGTCTGAATCTCCAGAGAAACCATGCTTCCCAGCATGTATTTTCTTATTAACTTCCGAAAAGATAAAAATGACTAGAAAATAGAGAAAATTGCCTGAAATTACATCAAACATACATATTTGTATTACCAGAAAAAGACAAGCAGGTATCTTTTTGCAATCTGAAAATTTTGTTTTAAAATATGTAACAGCTAGGTTCTGGTGGCTCACGCCTATAAGCCTAACTACTCAGGACACTGAGATCTTAGAATTGCTATTCAAAGCCAACCTGGGAAGAAAAATCTGTGAGATTCTTACCTACATTCAGTCATGTGCAAAAGCCAGAAGAAGAGCTATGGCTCAAGTGGTAGAGTGATAGCTGTGAACAAAAAGCTAGGACTGGCACACATACACATACACTAGATAGGTAGAGAAAGAGAGAGAGCCAGAAGGAGAGATTCTTCTTAAAGTCAAGGTATATATATATAAATTTTGGCAGATGAATAGTTATAGTGCATTTTATTTAAATAATAAGTCAGTATAAAATGACACTTTGTTAAAGGTACTTAGACAAAAATACTCATATATATGTGTGTGTATATATATATATATCATATATGTATGCATATCCAAATTACCCTCTAAGATAATCATGATCATTTTGCTTGCATTAAAATTATTTTTTAATTACTACCTTTCAGGTATTTTCTATTTCATCATAGCATTTTCTCTTTCTTTATTAATTTTTAGCACATGGGTACTTTGCCACTACTGCTACCCACACACATCATTTTACAGAGAAGGAATTAGGCAATGACTAAAGGTGACAAAAATCTTTCCCTCCCAGGGGCAGGAAGGGAAGAGAAAGGAGGTATTACCTCGAAGTTTGAGTGTGGGCTGATGTTGCCATGTTTCTGGCATCATTTCTCTCCGCGTCTTCAGGACAAATTGGCTGTTGATAAACTTGCAAATGCTGAAAATGTTGAAGGTAACTTGAGGATGAACGATGGAGAAATACTCATCTAGTCGGATCTTTTGGGTCTGGAGTCCTGGGACATACTTCTGAATATTCACACCAGCTTGTTTGATCCTCAGCTACCCACAGAGCATATGTCAGACTGAAGAACAGAAAGCACTCTCCCCCATGATCCTCCCCTTAGAAATACTATGGGTCAGGCTTTGTGACTTACTAAGGAGAATGGAGGTTGGGTTATGGAATAAATATCATGATTTTTATATGGAAATAAATCTGAAGTTAACATCTGAAAAGGAATACAATAGTGTAAGAGTTCTCAGAAGCATACTCTTAACTAGGAAGAAAAATCTGTCAAAGCTATTAGTAAAATCAATACCACTTTACTAGCTTTGGAAAACATTTCTCTGTCTCTATCTCTGTCTCTCTCTGGGGGGATGCCTTTCTGTCTGTCTCTGTCTCTGTCTCATGAAGAAATCAGCATATCCCATAGCTTTGGATCTGACACCTAGACTGGATAAAGGAGTCTATTAAGGACATAGGAAGAGGTTCCACTGCTATCTTCTGGGAAGAAAAAGTAGGTGTCTTTTGCATTAAAATGTCTAATAGTGCTAGGTGTCAGTGGCTCAAGCCTGTAATCCTAGCTACTCAGAAAGCTGAGAACTGAGAATCACAGTTCAAAGCAGCCCACCAGAAAAGTCCATGAGACTATTATCTCCAATTAACTACTAAAAAGCTGGAAATGGTGCCATGTCTCAAAGTAGTAGTGCACTAGCCTCAAATACAAGGACAGTGCCCAGGCCCTGAGTTCAAGCCCCAGAACCGGCACACAAATTTTTTTTTAAAAAAGTTCAATTCACAAAGTAAGACCAAAAGAGGATATTTTTAGGAGAGGATCACAAGGGTTCAATGGCTATGTACTTATGATCATATAAAATGATACTTACCAAAGTGAGCTCCAAGAAGTGGAAACAAGAGGTTTTTTATTTTACTTATTGCAGGTCCTTTACTTTTGTTTTTTGTTTTTCTGTTTTTTTTTCTCTTTTGCTGCTGTTTTTTTATTACTGTACCTTTTGTCTTGTATGTAAATTTATCTGATTTGGGGAGGGGAAGACTGGAAAAAATTCAACCTTCTTTTTGGGCATATATGTTATTAAATTTTCTGTTACTCTATGTCCAAAGCTTAAAAAAAAGAAAGACAAATTTTAAAAGTAGAATTTAAGGCTGGGAAGGTGGCTCAGTGGTAGAGTGCTTGCCTTGCATGCATGAGGCCCTGGGTTGGATTCCTCAGCACCACATAAGCAGGAAAAGTAGGAAGTGGCGCTGTGGCTCAAGTGGTAGTGTGCTAGCCTTGAGCTGAAGAGCTAAGGGACAGTACCCAGGCCCAGAGTTCAGTCCCTGTGACCAACAACAAAAAAAAAAAGAAAAGAAAAAAAAAGAAAAGAAAGTAGAATTGAAATGACTAGAAGTGGCAGGAATAATAATGATGATGACGATGCTTGTGGCATTGGACAACGTTGCCATACACTCATTTAAGATCCTCTCATTATTTTACATGGGGGATTTTTTTTTACCATAGTGGGAGTTTCTCTGTGAGCAGAAACAACCTAAGATGTATAAATTTCATAGAATCTGTATCTAGCAGTCAACTGGGTGATTTAATATGCCTATAGATTACAATAAATACAAGAGAAAATTATAATGGCTTAAATCATTTTAACTGAATTGTTAACCAAATCCATTTTGTTTATTTGCCCTTGAAATGATTTCATAATCAACTCAGCTGATGGGTAGTTTATCCTGGTAAATGAATAACAATGAAACTTAAATGATCATGCTCATGTGACATGAAGTGTGGTGATATTGAAAGTAGTGGTAAGAATGGTAGGTGATAATATTTAGAAATCCACCCAACCATTGCTAGTATGTTCTGATATTTGTTTTTTTTTTTTTGTTGTTGTTGGGACTTGCACTCAGGGCCTGGGCACTGTCACTGCTCTGCTCAAGGCTAGTGCTCTCCCACTTTGAGCCACAGCTCCACTTCTGGTTTTCTTGTGGTTACTTGGAGATAATAATTTCACTGACTTTCCTGCCTGGGCTAACTTTGAACCATGATCCTCAGATCTCAATCTCCTGACTAGCTAGGAATTCAGGTGCAAGCCACCAGCATGCAGCATTCTGATGTGCTTTTATAGAGTGAAATTTAGTGCCATATTAATTTCTTTTTTTTTCTGATGGCAAACTTTCCCATTGATTCATTCAAACCTCCCTCCCATATCTATGAGGAAGATCCTGCATATGGTTTCTGAAGGATTCCACAAATTTAATGAAACAAAGTTAGTGGTACTGTAAAGGGAAAAGCTAGTGAAGTAAAAGTCCCCACCAACTCTAAGAATCTAAAAGTTTTGGCCCTTCTCGGGATCATTCCCAGGTACAAATTCCAGATCCTTACTGTTTCATCAAAGACAATGTGGAAAGGAAAAGCATTGCAGAACGTCCTCTCTTCAATCCAGAGCTTCTCAGGATACATGGGCTCGAAGGAGTCCCTGAGGCGCCCTGTATTATAGAAAGGGAATGTGGTACTGAAAGCCAGGTCTTGCCGAAGCCCTCGCCCAGAGCTGTGCTGGGGACAGGCTTAGAATCTTAAGCGTCTCACAGTGAAGTGCAATCCCGACTCTTTCACACAGGCTCTCTCAGCATCTCCAGATGGCCCCAGCAATTCTTCCAAATTAAAACAAACAGAAAACTTGCTACCAGGTTGAGAAGCCCTCCTGCCCCCTGCCAAGTTTCTGCCTGCCGCTAAAGAGTTTCTGGGCCAATTGAGTATGTCTTGCCATGAAAACAGAGTCGGCATTGAAATGGTGACAGGCAGACAATGAGCTAGCAGAGCAGAGCGTGTGCGCCGGGCCCAGCATCAGGGACATTTGCCATGGAGCTTTTTAGACTGACAGTTTTGGGTGGCACATGAAAATTTAACCAACAGTCCTATTTGGCAGGGGGTAGAGATTCGAGGCAGCAGCCTTTTTGATATGAAAATCTCTTAGACAAAGGACGTCAATTGCATGTTTGACTCATTTGCCACAGCTTGAAGGACTCAGAATGCAGTGCTTTGAGTCCTGCAGACCTTCTCCCAGATGCATGTCATCTGACCCCCAGGGCCATGGTGAAGAACACCAGTTCCCTTCTCCCAGTAGATCAGAGCCCTTATTTCTAACTTGAGCATTAGGTCTTGGCTGTTAGATTTGCTTAAGTGTCCATAAGGGTAGCCATAGAGAGATTATGAGCTTCATTTTGCAAATGAAAAGATGGAGGACCTTATCTAAAGTTACCTAACCCCTAAGAGATGGAGCCAGAAATCTGCTTTCTTGGCTCTTGATCTACTACTGTCCTTTGCATTACTGATGCCCATGGTTATTATCCACTGATTTCCCATCCCAAAATGCACCCTAATTAAGGAGGCGTGAATCCAGAAGAAGAGCTATTGAAAATTTACTGCTCTCAATAGTCATCAGTGTCTTCAACACTCATCAACTGGGACTCCACCCCTCTCTGCAGTGGTTATAAAGGAAAATGCATCTCTACATTGCTCAGCACACACAGAAGGTCCATTGGAAGGCAAGATAGAGTCTGGAGTTGTTGTTTTTATACTGGTCCTGGGGCTTGAACTCAGGACCTGGATGTGATTCCTGAGCTTTTATTTTACTCTAGGCTAGCATTCTACTACTTGAGCCACTGCTCCACTTCCAGCTTTTTTGGAAGTTAATTGGAGATAAAAGTTGTACAGGCTTTCCTGACCAGACTAGTTTTGAACCATGATCCTAAGATCTCAGTCTCCTGAGGAGCTAGGATTATAGGTATTAGTCGCTAGCACCTGGTTGAGTCTGAAGTTTTAAAATTTAAAAACCATAACTAGCAAATCCAAGCACTGATGAAAACAGGGACATTGCAATCTCACAGGCTTTGTGCTATTTCTGCACAGAAACTGGTTCCACTGCAAACCAGGCAATCTTTCTGAACAGAGTCCAGGCTGGGAGAATATGCCACTTACCTTTTCCAAACATGACTATCCCCCTCACCACATCCCAGGGGGATTTCTTCCCAGGATAAACAGACACACTCAAATATTTTTCCTTCATCCTGAGGAAAGCTGTCTCAAGAGCCTGCAGATGGCAGGGAGAGAAGCAAAGGGAGATGGTCACATGAGTTGAGGTACACAAACCCTGCCTACTTCCATGGGGTCCGTCTTTGTATGTGGAACAGGGTCCATGGACAGATCCTTGGAGGATCTGTGCTTTTTTAAAGCATAGTAAACCTATGTACCTGTTGGTCTCTCGGGATGTCCTCTGGGTCTTGTAACTTGTTTGGCCTTGCCTTTCTTATCTGCCTGCAAGCCTTCTGCATAACCAGAAATACAACATGTTCTTTCTTCCCTGTTCTCCCCACCTCCTCATTCATGTCAAGTATATCCAAGGTCACATCAATGTCGAAAAAGTCCTTAGCCACAGCCTCAATGATACCTGCAGAGGAGGACATCCATTTGTGAGGAATGACAGAAGACAATGCATGAGGGGGGAAAAATCAAGGTGTGCAATTTCTGACAGATGTTTTAGGGTTCAAGTACAAGCTCTATCTTAAGATAGGGACCATATGACAGATTAATGAAGTAAAAATATGCAGAGATGGAATGTAACCCCACTGTCCTAATATCTGGTTCAACTCTTTCGTTTTGTTTTTAGAAAGGTGTTTGCCTCATTAAACACACTCTGGAAATAATACAGGCAAAACTCAGTTTTATGAGAATTTATGATCATATTTTCAAAAGTGTTGCCCTGGTATTCATTCATGACAGTACTTTTTTTTTGGGGGGGGACTTCATTTTATTTTATTTATTTTATTGTGAGAATACCGTACAGAGGAGTTTCAATTACATGGGCAAGATAACGAGTACATTTCTTATCAAGCATTGTTGCCTTGTACTTTTTATAATAGCAAATGATTAGTATCAGTTAAAAATACAACTATAGAGAATCATTAAGATAATTATGATACAAAAATCATTAATTCAGTCATATGATGTGGGTTTAGGGACTGGAGGTGTAGGTCAGTGGTAGAGTGCATACTCACTATGCATGAAGCTCTGGATTTACTTCAGCACACTCAAAAAAAAAAAACCCCATAGCATAACACAACAACAACAAAAACCCACAACTCAACCCAAATGTGTTTTGGAAGACTGTGTGCAGGCACAAAAGCATGTTCTTTCTAGAATGGTAAAAATAAAAAGGAGTGATGCAAAAACACTTACAGAATTATATCATGCTACCAACACCTGCATACTTGAAAGTGTTAAAATAAACATGATTCTTTTTTCCTTTTTTCAAATTTTGGCAACTTCTTTTCAAAGCTTAAGGACTTTGGGAATAATGACAACAGGAGTCAGCTCCAATAAGGAGCTCTCTCTCTCCCCACTGCAGGCTGTGGCCTTGCTGGAGAACTCATAGGAATCCTTCCTTCCTCACTAAAAGGCCTCAGATCTCCAGGACCGATGGAGTTATTTTATACCTGGTACTATATGGCACAGACCACTTCTGTCAGAGTAGTAATGGAGGAGCATTTCCCCATCTGCTCCTCTCTCCACACGAAATGATGGTGCATTCATCTCCTAATTGAAAGACACAGGGAAGGCAAATTGTTTAAATTATGACTTTAAGTCCTCATGAAATAATCTATAATAATATTCAATTATAATGCATGGGACTATATTCCCCCATATTGTTCCAGTCACATCACACCTCCCATGAGCTCTCTCAACTGTTGCTAATCCCCAAATAGCTCCACATGGCAAGTATTATTTCCAGTGTAGAGCAGAGGAAACTGAGATGCAATGAAATTCAAGCTAGATTAGTGGCAGAACAATGCTTACCTACCCCTGCCTCCAAATGAGCCCTTGGTACCCTGTCATTCCGCATCATCTACCCATACTACTGCAAGGAATGCCTCACTAGAAGTTGCCAAAAAGGCTTAATGGATCTCTGCTAGTCAGTGTCACTGACCAAGTGACTATGGGCATCTCCAAACACAGAAAGGCCAAAGGCTCAGAGGAATTTCCTAATGGAATGAATTGATCTGTTTCTTGTTCTAGAAGGATCATATCATCTGTGGTACCAAGTTCCATATTTGAATCCTTCAAGAACATATCCAAAAATTTTCCTTCTCCAGGAATAAATTTTGGCACTCAAGAAAGCCCCATCTCATGGCTGGTGAGATGTTCCTTGGGAGAGAAGGATTGAAAAATATCCCTGGGGAATTCTTGGGAGAAGCAACCATTTCCTCCCGCTTAATCATCAGGCAGGACAATGTCATGAACACACAGCTTTTGGTCTGAGGGGATGAAGAGAGGTTGGAATGGTGGGTTGCAGTCCTCTCCCATGGCATACAAGGCTGCGGGTGAAAATGGGCTCCTTATTTTTCAACATTCTCTATTTCCAAAAGCATGTACATAGTTACATATATGTTGTTATACATTTATGTTCATATCTTGATGAAATCTACTCTTAGGAGAATTAAGAGCATGCATCAATGTTTATAAATGACTCAGCATAACATCTGCCTCAAAATTAGCAATCACTGAAACGTAGCTAAAAAAGTAACAGCTTAAGGCACAATTATAGCCAGGATACATGCTTTAAGGGAAATCATCACTATCTTACTTTATATAATTTTGCCTAAAAAGACAATCTGTAGTACTTTGTCTAATATAAAACATTATATAGCTATTTGGTATGGTGACCTGAATTTTATTTCATTTTGTACATTTTCACATTTAAACATCTTATTTAGTTTATAATATGCAAAATGTCTTCACATATTCTCAGAGAGATTCTATTCTATTTTTGCTTGTATAACAATTAGATTTTGGCAAGTGACTATGTTTTTTTTTGCTTTGTGTGTGTGTGTGTGTGTGTGTGTGTGGTTTTTTTTTGCAAGTGACTATGTTTTGAGACTTGACGATCAGTGGAGGGATCGGGTATAAAAATAGTTGCCTTAGGACTTGTGAACCTTAATTTCTATTACTTTTATTCAGGAGGTGAAGAAATGCCATGAGCATAGTAATTCTTTCTCTAAAATAGTGACACACTAGATTAGCCAAATTTCAAATGAGAGATGAGATATTAAAATACTATGGAAGTTCATAGAAGAGGCCTAAATTGTGTTTTTTAATATTTAAGCTAAAAGTTTGACACAAAATTTGTCATGTAAATTCTTATACGTTTTAAACTGTACTAAACAGAGAGGAAGGAAAGGAGAAATGTCTTTTCTGAGTCTATTACAATGCTATGAACTTTATCTGTTATCTCTTTTTTTTTTGTCAGTTGTGGGGCTTGAACTCTGGGCCTGGGCACTGTCCCTCAGCTCTTCAGCTCAAGGCTAGCGCTCTACCACTTGAGCCACAGCACCACTTGTTATCTTTTTTTTTTATCCACAATCATATGAGGTAGATTCTTTTATTCCTACTTTTCTTAGTCTCTGTGCCCATTACCTTAAAAAGTAGTCACTACATAGTAGCATTTAATTTTTTTCTCTTTTTCCTTCTCTTTCTTTTAAGATTTTATTCTTTTCAATACTGGGGTCTCAACTCAGGACTTGGTGCTTGTTAGGCAAGAGCTCTACCACTTTAACCATGTCCCCCAGCCCTATGTTTTTGTTGTTGTGGTACCGGTTTTTTTCAAGTACCATCTGCTTTTAACCTGGTGCTGGCCTTGAACCACAAACCTCCTAACATTACTCCCTATGTAGTTGAGATTTTACAGGAATAAACCAATATGTCTGGCAAAATCTTAATAACTATTAAATAAATAATAGAACAATAGCTTGTCCAGAATTACATAGCTGGCAAGTTGAAGATCTGGTAAGAAAGAAGTATGTGCCCATCTGACTCCATAGCCAGAGCTCTGTTCACACACTTTGTCCTTAAAAAGTTCACATGATAACAACAGAACTGGCCCAAGAACTCCTTCACCTTGAAGCAATTAAGGTTTCTAGGCCTCAGATCCCTTATCTGAAAACTGGAAAAAAGAATTCTTTTTGCTTTTTAAATATATGAGAGTGCAAATTGGTGAGTGGCTCTCACATACCTAATCCCATTTTACCCAGACAAACTGAGAGTGCTTATGAACACTACAAACAGAAATAGCAAAGGGAGAGCTTGGTAGATATAAGGGCCTTAAAAATAAACACAAACTGTTTTACATAAAATAAACTAATATTATAATGTGCATTTTGTTTTTTTTAATCAAGCATTTTCTTGTCTTGAAAAAGAAAAGGCAGTCTCTAAGCTTTTGAATTTCCACTGCCTCTACAAAGAAGAAAAGGGAGGCATGAACTCCAGAAGGACAAGTCCCAGTAGGGAAATTCATTTCTAACACCTCAGTCACCCCATGGTTAATCAGAATTGGATGGTTTCTGATGCTAGCTCTTGGCTCTGTCAACTCTTTCCTTCTGATACTTGAATAACACGAATCTGGCCGCACAAGCTATTTATCAGCTCAATCCAGGCCAGGAGAGATTTTGCAAAGCCACTGAAACCTGACTATTTTCCAGCTTTTGTTCCAATTGCGATCAACCTCCTAGGTTTAGTTCCAAATCCACGCCATCCCTGTGGAAGAGGCCCTCCCCCACCACAAAGTTGGATTTCTCTTTGTTGTTTTATTTTGCTTTACTTTGCCATTTAATTCATAAAGGTAGCCAACTGGTATTTCGTTTCCTTTCCTTTTTTAAGAGCTCCCTTGGGCCAACTGACACCAGAGACAAAGCAGATGGGAAGAAATCCCTCTGCTCCTACTCCACCATTGAGGAGAGATGAAAGATGGTACACAGTGCCCCCAAGCAATGCTACCTCTTAGGACCACCAAGACCAGACTCACATGGTCTCACCTGATAAGAGAGTGCCAGATAACTATGGAGGGCATCTAGGTTTTCAATAAATTCTGTGAGGTTTCCTCCTAATGTCCGCAGCATCCTGTCATAGCCAGACATCTTACAGAATTTAAAGAAGTATTCTCCAAAGAGCTTCAGAATGGCTTCCATGGACACACCTGTGGAATCCAGAGCACATACTCCAGTAAGATCCCCTGTGAGGTAGTAGTTCTCCCTTTGATGGTCTTCATGTATTTCTAGTGTTAAAACCCTGCTTGTGCCATTCTTCCTGAGATTGCTGTCTAAAAGCTTCACTTTCCATCCATGAAAAGCCAAGAATGTCACAGTCCTATGAGATGCCAAAGCAGCCCTGATACCAGTACCTGCTCATTAACCATGAGTCTTTCCCAATCCCACCCTACTCAGCCTTCCTATTTCATCCATGGGAAACATTTCCCAATAGACTAGCAAGGGCTGTGGAGCTATTGTATCCCTTCACCACTGATCCTGCCTCCATATAAAGGGTCACTCTGGGCTGAGTAAAGTGCAGCTCCCTGTAATCACTCCTACCACCTCAAATCTTTAAATCCAACAACTTAATGAGGAATCAAAGACTCCCCTCTCTGAGAAATCACTAATATCACAATGTAAAAAAAAAATCCACCTCATTTACCAAAAAAAATTAGAGCCAGGCAATGGTGGCTCACACCTGTAATCCTAGCTACTTAGGATGCAGAGATCTGAGGATTGTGGTTTGAAACCAGTCCAGGCAGGAAAATCCATGAGATTCTTATCTCCAATTAGCCACCACCAGAAAATCGGAACTGGAGCTGTAGCTCAAAGTGGTGTGATGCTAGGCCTTGAGCAAACATTAGCTCAGGGACAGTGCCCAGGCCATGAATTCAAGCCCCAAGACCAGCAACACACACACACACACACACACGCGCACACACACACACACACACACACACACACACACACACACACACTAGAGCAAATGCCTGAAGTGATTCTTTCTTTCTTAGCCTCAGCATTCCTTTTTCTCCCTTTTAACTTTATTTTCCATAAAGATTTCTCTGAATATCCCAGGGCACATCAAATTTCCTCTTAAGTTTTGCACTGTTTTTCTTCCTAAATAAAGAACAATTTGGGTAGGCGACAACTTTCCTTACATGCTTTCAGAGCTAGGTACCAAGTATGTGCTTAAGAAATTCCCGGAAATACAATTGCAGCCTTAGATGGGAGCTAGTACCTTCACTTCCCCATTCTCTATGTGTGCTGTTAGGACAGGGATGTGTTTTGAAAATATTTTACAATCCCTCCAAAATTCACTAATCAATGTTATCTTTAGTGAATTGACCCCAATCAACAAAATATCAGAAGACAGATTTGCTTGAACAAAAATGAATCCTAAATTTAGTGCTCTTCATATCATATCCTGAAGCCTCTGGAGCAGTAGTTAGACAAAGAAACTTCCCAAGGTGACAGCTGTTTCTAGCCTGTCACCCTTGACACAGGAGGCAAGATGTCCATAAACTATTGCCTCCTTGGAGCTCCTGGGAGAACCACATTGGGACTTTTGTAAGTCCTGAGAGCTAGGTAGAAGGTCCCCTATATGTGGCTTTATTATGGGAGGCCTGGGATTTACAATTCCTTTCATTTATCCTTGAAGGATTTTAGGAGACTCCAGCTGGATCTGGAATGTACACTGAGGTGCAACCCAGGTATAGACTGAATCATACAGAATCAGGGATGTGAGGACATCTGACCACTCCTAGCCTCTACTTGCTTCCTAAGATAGTCTGAACAACTCCCCACAGCCAAACCTGTGGGCAGATAATTGCTGTACAATCTGAGCAGAAAACAATCCCCATGGAGTTGTTCTGGCATTGTCGGAGATAAGTTATACATATTTCTTCAAAAAAAAAAAAGCACTTCAGCCAAATCTTCTGGATCTAGACAAGCTTGGAATGGCATGTGGCCATGACTTGAATTATTTGCCTCCTTTGGGTTCCTTGCATGAGAGCCTGTCCTGGCTGGATGCAGGCAGGCTTGTCTGTACCCGTAACCAGGAACCACCTGCTCAATCGTAAGTGAACTGAAGCATGTTCGACTCAGGTCCTTTCCAATGTTTCTGAGTGCCTCAGAGGACTCCTGGAAAATAAATGGACAGGTGTGGAATCGCTCCTTCCTCTCCCCTTCCACCCCTCCTTTCTCTCTAAATCTAACTAATTCACTCTAAGGAAAACCAGCTGTGCTGTGCAGCCTGCAGGCTGGAGCTCTGTGCAGGTGCTTCCTGTTACCTGCCAGAAAAAGCACAGGTCCCCAAAGGCGTCCCTCTCCCAGGGGCGTCTCCCAGGAGGACCGAGGCTGACGATAAGCCAAACGAAGTTAGATTTTAGCAATACTGGCAACCAGGTGTGGAAAGATTGCCTGTTGGACTTTTTTTTTAATCTGAAGACTTACAAAAATCCATTCCAATTGCCCGTTCCAAACCTGTTTGTTTGGTTTCTGGGCACCTAGCTCAGTTAACAGAAGACATCTGGCTAAGAGACTAACTGTACCTTAAACAACCATCTAGGGCTTGCATGTAGTGTTTTCCATCTGTGCTAGGATTCTTGGTTCAGAGTGCTTGTCTAGCAGAGGACAAAGGCCTCTTTTTAAAATTAATGCTGACCTTCTTTTTATAAATTCAGATTCACCCCTGTGGATTTAGAATTCCAAGAGTTGTCTAAGTCACAAGGTTCAGGGATGTATAGAAAACGGTAAGAAAACATATGAGCAAACAAAACACAAAGCTTTGTTGCTTTGAACTGTTATTTGATACTCAAAAAAAGGCCAACTATAATACGTGTAGTATTCTATCTTTTGTCTAAGACAAAAGGAGAAATAATTATGTATCGATCTGCTTTATTGTAGAAAATTAAATGTCATCAGGATAAACCAGGGGTATTCAATTGACTATTTACAGGGCATTGGCAGAATGGGGTGAAAGATTAGAAAGACTGTGAAAATCAGGGGACTAGTATCATTCTGAGCAAAACTCTTTGCACAGTTCTAGTCATGTTAATATTTTAAGCAAATAAGATCAATAAGAATCTATTAAAACCTTAAGATGGAACAAAGTAACAGAACAATATTTCAACAAAAGAGTTTTGAATAGCTACCCGGGGGGGGGGGGGAACCTAAACCATTTGAGAATAGTATTTCAACTTCGTGATCCTCTGACTAAAGATAAAAAGAATGTTGGACACAATTTAATGATAATTATAAAGGTAAGCTTCCTTTTCATACTTGAAGAACATTCAAGCATACAGATGAGTATATTGTAGTTGGTAGGAGCTAGGTTTCTTACTGAGAATGAGGTAACAAATATTGAAAGAAGAAAAAAAGAATGCATTTTGTCTCAGTGGATTAGAAAAACCTAACCACAGGCCCAGCTGAGGTGATAGGTAAGTATGTATGTATGTAGGTAGGTAGGTAGATAGATAGATAGATAGATAGATAGATAGATAGATAGATAGATAGATAGATAGATATGGATAGGTAGAATTGATAGTAGATAGATAGTTGGATTGATAGAATCTTGTGTAACGTGTATGTATCATTTATTTTCCTGTTGAGAAAGCTTAAAAGTAGGTACCTCTAGTAGCAAGGAGCTGACCTAGTAACCTGATCTGGGTTATTACATGCCACCCACATCTAAAAAGAACCAGAGCTTTGCTGAAATGGGGCAGGGAGAAGCATGGATATGAACCTATACAACTTTGTCATGCCAGAAAGCAAAGAAGTGATCAAAGAATGAATATGTACAGGTCAAAAGGATGCTGTAGCCAGTGTGGAGAGGGAATGGAAAATTCAAGCATCAAAATGAACAATGAAAATAAAGGATCCTAACTTATTTCAAAATATAAAAATCAAGATTCTATATTGATACAAATTTTTAAAAATACTTTTTCTTTTTCTTTTTTTTCCTTTTTTTTGTGCTATTCCTGGGGCTTAAACTCAGGACATAGACACTGTCCCTGAGCTTTATTGCTCAAAGCACATGACATTTTTGTACCATTTGAGCCATAACTCCACTTCTGCCTTTTCATAGTTAATTAGAGATAAGGGTCTCATGGACTTTCCTGCGTTAGCTGGCTTTGAATGGCAACCTTCAGATGTCCACCTTCTGAGCAGCTAGGATTACAGGTATGAGCCATGGGCACCTGATTTGAAAATACTTTCTTATAGGAATCCAAGTAACAAATATAAAAGAAATACTATGCTCAGAAAATCAACATTGTATAAGTATCTATTTAGACAAGAATCACCAATAAATACTAAACTCATAGAAGAGAGAGTTTGAAAAGCAACCACTATTTACACTATCTAATAGTGTGTCTTCATAGATACTAATCACACCCAGAGATTGGAGAAATCTGGCAGATTCTACTTCACCAAATGACCAAAGTGCTCCTCAATCAATAATGGAGCACTTTGACATCTTATAGCTCCTGATAGAATAAACTGGGAAGAGCAAAAAAAAAAATCACTTGTGGCCTGCCTGCCAAGAAAGTATATCAAGAAGAACTAGCAAATGACCCTAAACTAAGGCAGATTCTACCAAGTAGCTGAACATAACTTTCCACAGATATCAGGGAGACTCAGGATCTCTTCCAGACAAAAAGAGACTGCAGAAACCTGACAACTGACATGAGCCAGGATTTTCTTTTTGTTATAAAGACCTAATAGGCCAATTGGAAAAAAAAAAACCCCCCAAGTCTGTAGGTTAAGATAATTGCACTGTGTCAATTTTGATTTCCTGAGTTAAATAAGAGAATCTTTAGGAACAAAGAAGTATCGTATCTGCAATATGCTAACAATTCATGGACAAAATATAGATGCAGATATGGAGAGAACAGAGCCAATATGGTTAAAATGTTAACATGTGGGTCACATGGGTGAGGAATATATGGGACCTCTTTGCACTATTCATATAAACCCTTTGTGGGTTTGAATTTGTGTCAAAGTAAAAAGTTTGTGCTGATTGCCCTGAAAAGACCTCATGAAATTTTAGATAATAATACCACAAAGACCACTTATTCATGGCTAGCTGAGACATAGCTGGAAAGTCGACCTCTGTACTATTATGAGTTTTGTTAGGTATAATCAGGGCATTATCATTGTATCTTAA